TCAAGAAATAGCAGGAAATATTTATAAAAGATTGAGGTAATAATAATAATAATAATAATAATAATAATAATAATAATAAAGTAAACTAATGTAAGTGATCCTAAGCAATCAGATCAGTATAACCTTTCATCATGTAAGGAAACTTATAGTTGGAACCTAATGGAGGTCTTTTAATTACTGTATTGTCCAGTCCTTGAGGATCCTAAGGTGCTGTAGTTACTAACGGTTAGGTAAGGTGGAGTGACTGTTGATAAAGAAGATTATATACATCTCTTTTCTTAACTTTTGCTGCTGGAGAAGTTTTTGAACAGCTTCTCAGTCTTATCTTGCTCATCATTTACTGCAAAAACTTACTAGACCTACTGTCACCTAGCTACCATTTTTTAATTTCACAGTAAGATAAGGTTATTCAACTTAGACTAGCCATGCAAGCTGGCAAACTCTTCCTACTCTTTTGTCTTAGTGTGGCTCCCTTAGTCTATTTTAATAATATCTATATTTATATAGGAATAATATTATTAATAATATGTATGCACAATATAAATCAACTGGCTTCATTTGGGAACAGTATAACGATAGGAATGGAAAGGGCAAAGTGAGACAATTATCATTATTAATTAATTAATTAATTGATTGATTACAGGGTACACACCCATTCACTGGCTGGTCTTCACTGGTTGTGTTAATAATGTCAGAAAAATATTAATAAAAGAATGGACAATTAACAATTAGTAATAATAAATTATAATACATTAATAAATATTAGTATAATGTTGTTATTTTGATGTCGTCATTATCTTTTTCTTCTATTTTTTTCATGTCGATGTCAAGTCTGTTACTAAATATAGAACAATACCTTTAATTCTAAAAATAGAATCCATCCATTACCTTTTATGGGGTAATAACCTTTTCTTCTTATAGAAGCAGTATCCACTGGTAACGAACACACTAATTAATATAATAATAATCAATATTGTTCCACCTGCTCCTGAACTAATGCTAATTATTAGATTATTATTATCATCATTATTAATGATGCAGAATTGTCCATTGAATCCAAACTGCCTCTCATCGTTGCATGTTGTGTCCATTTTAAATATTTGTCCGTTCACATTCAAAGTTGCATTACCAGCAGACAACCAATCCTCCATTAGCTGTAGGTATCTACTGGTACTGGTGGAGTATAGGTTAGCGGAGAATAGGACCACACCCTCTTCCCTGGTACATGTAAATCTTCTGTTGTTAATGTATTCTGATGAAAACTGGCAGTCATAGCAACGCTCCTGTATCGCCATGGTGACAGCGTTAATGATATCGTGCATTTTAATGAATTTATTACTTTCCTGTTATAAAGTAATCATTCTTAATAATTAATTAACATTAACTTACACTCCAACTGTCACATGTATCTGTGTTTAATAAATTAATTATTAACTGTATCTTTTCGAAACTTGTAACTACATAAAGAAATAACTATTAATAACTACTAATAACTATTAATAAAATAATAACTACTATGTATATTAATGAATAGTATTGCTAGTACCGTTAATGATGAAAGGGCTGCTATTGGGTCCGGTTCCAATGGAGTTGTTAGCAGTTATTGTCACACAGTACATCAGTGAAGGAACCATCACACCACCTCTTGTTGCTATGGTGTGATTAATATTACTGTTAGTATCATTATTATTAGCTGGTGCTGAGTCTGTTGCTACTGGTTCAATCCCACAGGTACCATTAACATATGATGATATATTTATATTATAATTGTTAATGAATCCACGAGCCTCAGTCAATGCTAAGGGACTCCACACCAGTTGGACAGTGTAATCATTGACCCACTCAACACTTTGTATAGTAACAGCACCAACTGGAGCTACAAGTGAAAAGAAAGTTAGTGTTTTGAAAGCTCCTTTCCTTACAAATTAGCTTTACCTAGTTCAGCAGTGAAGAAATGATTGGAAGTCTGTGGCAGTCCTGGACCAAAAATATTACTAACAACAACCTGATAGGAGTACAGGACACCAGGACCTTATGAACATAGATAATAAATAATAATAATAATAATAATCAATAATAATAATAATAATAATAATAATCAATAATATCTTACTTAGATTGCTAATGATAGCATTGTATTCACTTCCAATGACACTGACTGTCCTACTCCCTATTGTAATGTTATACTGAACTGGTACACTCTGCCCATTGTGGGGTTTGTTCCAGTGTATTTCAACTGCAGTGTTGTTCAATACACTAATACTTGAATTAGTAATAAACCCTAATATAAATATTATAACAGTATAACGATACATCTACACATACCGGGAGAAGGAAGTGGATTAGGCATATAGCCAATACGAGTGTCATTAACTATAATAATAATAATAATAATAATAATAATAATAATAGGTCATAATGGATTACCCAGTTTATCTCCATCACATCTTAAGCCAGAGTCTTCATCATGACTGCAGTCACTGGTGTCAGTATTAACTGTACAGTACTTGAGGTTAGTCTCATTTCCTGTACAATTGATATCTTTAAATTGAACTGGACCAATTCCTGGACCAAACTTATCACCACTGAATGTTCTAACATCTAAATAATGATAATAATTGAATCAGAATCAACTCAAACTAAATATGCTACACAAGTACATGTACATGCATTAGACCTTACAAGTTGGGTCATATCCCAGTTGGTAACAGGCCACTCTTGCGTCTTCAGTAGTCCATCCCTTGTGACAGATAGTTCCCCATTTCTTGTTATAACAACTTCAATTCTTCCTCC